TTAGCTCCGTGTGACTTCTTCCTCTTCCCAAAGATGAAAATTCAGCTAAAGGGAAGGAGATTTGAGACGATAGAAGAGATTCAGGCAGAATCGCAGATGGTGCTTGACAGGCTGACAAAGAAAGATTTTCCAGGGATGCTTCCAGGCTTGGCAGCGGCGCTGGGATCGTTGTGTTCACTCCCAGGGGAACTACTTCGAGGGTGATGGATGAATTTAATACCTGAGATAAGTGTACGGGTTTTTATACGCGCAGTCTGGAAACTTTCCGATCGCACCTCGTAGCATCTGAGGTTTTCACAACGGTGAGTCTGAAGATGGCTGTCTTCTGGGTTGTAGCGCCGTGTAGTCTGGTGAAAGTTTTTAATAACAATATGTTTACACAGGCCCATTTACAACTACAAACAACAAATCTATTACCGCCTACTCAGGCATGCCAACTCACGCACTAAACTGAGCCTACTATTAGGTGTTGTGTAACAGACAGCAACGCAGAAAGTTTTCAAATTCATTAGTTCGACCGGAAAAAACAATTTAGACCATTTAAACATATATACATAACCACCCGGCGTGTAGATGGCGTAACTGCACTGGCCATTAGAAGCTGTGAATGTATCATAAAATCAAAGACTTCAGAACTCTTCCATAATTTAACCTAATTTCTGGTAATATACCTCGTCCATAGGGGGTTATACTGCCATGGCTCGGTGAACACAGCCTCGTTTTGTGGTAGTGCAGCTGTTAGGTTTATGACTGATGAAGTAAGATGGCTGGATTTCAATAATTTCCTGAAGGTACTTGGTATACAGAATCAGAAAAAGCAGTCCTGTACAAAGAACCGACTAAGATGGCTGACTGTATATCGCTCGTCCTTCAAGCGTTGCTTCTCGCACAGCCTGGTGGTAAAATAGCATTCTTCTTTACCGACAGGCACTGTAGCCAATGCGTAAACACAATTTTCGGGGCAGTTACTGAGTGGGGGCAGAGTTTACTGGCCTCACGTTCAAATGCCTAAGCAGAGGTGAACGATCATCCAACCAGATACAGGGTGACGTGTCTTCATCACGACGAACCCCCAGCCATTGCTAGCTTTTCCTGACCGGATTGTAGCTCCCCAATTTCCTCACGATGCTGGACTGGTCGAAAGCTCATGAGAAAATTTCTTCTCCCCCCCCGAGACTCGAACCAGAGAGCATTCCGTGTCACCGGTCCGAAACATGATGCCTCAGACCGCGCGGCTACAGAGAAAATCTTTAATACTTTATTTTAATTGTTAGTGGAAACACACATTTAACCACTATTTCTCATCTGCTGATCTGTAAATAAAAAAAAAGTCAACAACTTGCGTCATTTTCAAATTTAAAATAACAAATAGTTCGTATTATGGCCTACAGAGTACATTCAAGATCCAGAGCCCTTGTGACATATGCGACGAAGTCGAAAGAAAAATCTGACTTCTGTTCGCTTGTTAACTGGTTTTAACGCCGGTTATTACAAACGAGGCTACGTCATTAAAGGCTTCGACCGGGATGTTCTTTTGTTAAATCTTATGTGGTACCGCCTGATTCGACTTCTAATGGTTAAGTGAAGTGTTTTCTTCGCGGTACGGTCTGGATTCGTAAATAATATTCAGACGAGCTTCGGCTTCAAAGGGTTAACCAGCTGATTTTCGTAATGGTGAGGTGTAGTGTTTTCTTCGCGGTACGGACTGAATTCATAAATAATATTCAGACGATCTTCGGGTGACGCATTGAGTACAAGAATCGGCCGTTGATGCACCGTGCAGCATTGCCAACGTATCTCCGCTCTGACCTGTTCCTGGGATGGTAATGCGAAGCTTCGCTCGGTCTAGACCTGCGCAGTTCGTCAGAATCATCGGGGGGGGGGGGGGGGAGAGAATGAGACAGAGATATAGTCTAAGAGGAACCCAGATGAATGAAACGACGAACCGGGCGACGAGTGACTCCACCAACCAACTTCTGGCTTGTGCTTCGCGATACAGTACTCTGTATGAATGGCGAGGAAAGTAACTCAACTATGGCACTCACGTTTCTTAAAATCCATATTCTGGATATCTCGACACGAATTTCCACGTTCATCCATTCACAAAAAAAATGATTTGCAAGTTCACTACTACACATTTTACTTTCTCTGCAAACATTTAATATTAATTATATTAGTTCACGTTGATAGTGGTTCTTAACGTTTAAATATTACGAAGTTTTATTCGTCTAAGTAAATTCCAGCGTTTGCCTAAGTCCACAGACAACTGGATTAAAACTGCAAAGATTTTGAGGTACAACCAAATTATATAAAAAAAATTGTGTGTCCAGACTGCCTCAAGCTATGATTGGCTGACTACAGAAAAACAAATGAACCGAGTATAAACCTCACGTGATGACGATTTCAACAACTGAGACCGAGGTCAGCTTCAAGATTTTCTAATGGCTTTAACACGGCAAGATGGCTGCCCCATAGTGATTATAGACAAACCATTGAAACTGGTATATAAAGTTTGTCTTAGATTTGTATTTTGTAAATATTTTCGGAAAAACTTGTTGCCAACATCCCCAAATGTGGACCAACTGTAACACCTATAAGGGTGTTTAAAATGTGCAAAAAAAAATCGAAGGTATTTTTACACGTCCGGCATAGACCGGAAGGGTGTTAACCCTCAAATGGCGCCGTGCTTGGGATTGCGAAGTCGTAAATACCCCATTAATGCTCTCGCAATATTTTTCATACAATGGCATTTTGAAAGTTGAAATCTTTAAAAAAAAAACAATTATCTTATGCATATTTTGATGAAAAATAATACATATATTTCAAAATTATTTAAAAACTGACACAAATTGTACACAAAATTTTAAATTACTTAAGTTTATTATCAAAAATGTGCTATAATTAGTGAATTTCCTAACTAATAAACCTTTAAATATTTAACTAG